GTAATTTGCAGGTTCTTTGTGTGGCTTCTGATGGTATCCTACAGTTAAATTCTACTGCGTTTGATGTCTTTGTCAAGGGCTCTAGTTTTCATTTACTTATTTTTCTGTACGAAGAAGGTTTATTGACCAATTTACAAGAAAAATAGAACCTTGAGTTCCAATTTCCTCACTTCATTCTTCTCTTGGTTCCTCTATTTTTGTTAACTCTCCCTCTCGTTCTGCCCTGTAGTTGCTCCTATTATGCAGCTTCTGTGTCTCAGGTTCCTGACAGTCTTCTAGATGATCTGATGCAGAATGATTAGAATACTTTTACAGAGTAAATAATAACAAAATCTGGAGATAATAAAGAAAGCAAGTGAAACATGAGAAGACATTTTTTCATTCAGTTTGTGAAGATTCGAAACAGAGAATTAGTCTTTCACTAGTTTCCAAGGAACACTACTTGAAACCTGCCTAAGCCATTCTGTGAAGAGAGAGGGCAACTCTACCACGGAGTCTCTCGCACAAGAGTGGAGTTCCGAATAGCTTATTGGAAATCAGAGCCTTAGCCTTAGTCTACAATCATTCCTGAGTCTCTCCTATTTCCTATTCCTATTCTAGCTGGGATATTCGACATCATTTGTGCTTTTCACCTAAGCCTTCCTCTTTCACTAAGATTACGAAAGGCTTTAGACTTCTCCATCTTCCTCTTCGACTCTGAAAGCTTTTGGAATTCAAGGGAGCTTGCAACAAGTATTCCTTAGAGACTAATGAAGGAATTATACTCTTTTCATTCTTAAAACAACTATGAAAGATGCTCATTAAAACCATATCTTGCCTCCTGTTTCCCCGCTTCACATTTATACATTCTTGTATGACAATGAAGAGAAGGGAATAACCCAATGTCCAACCTGTTCTTTTCTTTTTGATTGGTAATTCCTCAATCTCTTCTTGTACTCCAGATCTTTTACAAATTATTTGATCTTTGTCAAAGTACAGATACTTGAAGCATCTGTTGCGGATTACCTTGACGAGAATGAACTTCTTAGCAGTGTTGATGCTGAGAACTGTGTTAACAAGCATAAATTCAGGTTTCCATTTTCTTGTGCATTTCAAAATCTCGAAGATGCATTGATGAGGGTGACAGACAGTGCAGTCATATTATCGATGCAGGGAGGTCTATCAAATTCAAGGTTGGCAACATAAGGCGGTATTGCTGAGACAATTCGGACTGTGATGTCTGTGACAAAGAAGACAAGGAGTTTGGCAAACGTAGATGAAGATGATCTGATAGTACAAACCAAGCAACTGGGGAAGGTTTCCTATGGTACAATTTGCTGCAGGAAGCATTAGCACTCTTGCTGATGCTACACTGATGACGCAACTGGGTCACAATGGTGTTGTTTTTAATATGAAGTTTTTGACTGTCCAGATCCATGGAAGCAGATTCAAGCAATAGTTCGGCCTCTTGGTCACTATAACAATCCATTTGCTTTGGCGCAGATAAGCTTTCGGTTTGATGCTTATGAGGCGGAAGATGAGCCTGATTTGAGTGGATTTATAGTGTGATGCATTTTGTTTACCATTAAGGGTGCATTTCTAGGCTTTGAATTGATTCACAGTCGTGTTTAGAGTAAATCTGGTTCTCTACATTACATTAAGTTCGATAAATTTATGAGTAAACATGAATAAATTCACTGGTTATCTTAATGAAACCTTGCAGCATAATAATTCTTGTAAGTGGTGACATTCTACATTCTTGAACAGTGTTTTTCTTTAATGGTTTCTAACAGTAAAAAAAAATTCACCTTAGCAATACCATGTTACTTCAAGAGGCTAACAACTAAATACTATAGGTTCTTGGTTGGGGGATCGGGAACCAGAAAAGAAAACCAAAAGATACAAAAGGAAATATAATTTGTTCTTCCTTGCTGAACATACACAATGAATTTACCACTGTACAAGAGAACTTACCAGACTAGTCTTCTCTTGTTACCAATAATCGGGATCGAACTACTCTACTCTTGTTGACTGTATGATGATGAAAGAGGACCTAAACAATGGTTGACAAATCTATATGAACATACTAATATATAGAATTTCTAATTGGTGATCCTTTAATTTGGGTAAAAGCCAAGTTTATCCTAGATAGCATTCTCAGTTTGAATACTCCCGTTGTTGAATAAGCACCTTAATGCTGTCCCATATGCAGAAAATATAGCTCCATTGAC